GACCATGACAGGGACTAAATTTGAGATATTTGAGACTCATTAACAAGTATATAATTGTTGAAATTGTGGATATAGATGATGTGGTTTATGTCTAAAGTTCCCCCAAAGCACCAGGTGTTAACTGGTGGGGTTTGGGGGAGCTTCTTGGATCATGGGTTTGAGATACCCATCAGTCGATTTGTTCATTGATGAGTTGATAGCAGGGTGTGGTAGGCTGTGGGGACTGCTTGAAGGAGGTGGTCACCAGGTGTGGGACGGAAGGTCTGTGTCCCTCTTCCTTCCTTGATCGCTCTCTGCTTCCTAACTGCCCTGCCAAGAGCTGTTTCTGCTTTGTCCCAGCCCTCTGCCAAGCCACCCTGCCTTGGACCCAGGTGATTCAGCTCAGAAAATCTTATGCCTCATCTTATACTAGTCAAGTCAACTCTCAGATCTTTACTTGCAGGACAGTGTCTTAGTTACTCTTCTCTCATTGCTGGGACCAATACCTGACACCCAAAATGAAGGAAGAAAAGGTTTATTTAGCTCACAGTTACTGGAGGTTTCAGTCCATATTCAGCTGGCTCCAAGGCAGAGCAGCACATAGCAGAAAGCAACTTTTCATGGCTTCAGCAAGGAGCAAGAGAGGGAGGACAGCAGCAGCTCAAGCAGCTAACTTCTCCTTTCTTCTTACATTGAAATACAAATTACCTGCCCCAGGGCAGGTACAGCATCCACACCCACAGTAATCAATCACAAACTCCAGAAGCCACCCCATGACTTCATGAGGCTTTGGGGGGACATCTAGACACAAATCATAACAGACAGATACTTTAAAGAACAAACTTCCCCCTTTGTCCAGCTGGGACATGAGGCAGAGAGCAAGTCCCCAGCTAGAGCTGGTTGGAGGTAGTCTGTGCTCCCTTCCTCACCTGCCTCTTCACTTGCTCATAGACTGAGAGGGCTCGGCCCTCCCTGACTTACAGAACCCAGTGCAGGCTGCAGCAGCTGACCCTGTGTGCCTCTAAAGCCAACTTTCATTGGATGGGAGCAACCCTGTGACTGTTTCTTTTGCTTCTGTCCCAACACAAACATCTCTGTTCTGGAGTTTGCTCCATCCTAAGGACTTGCTTACCAAGTTTGTAATGTGCAGGAGCCCCAGGCTATTCTGTACTCAGCCTTTACGCCTCCTGAGCAGCACTCTGCCTAACACCTGAGACGGCCTTGAGCACCTCCCTAGTCTGTGGACTTTGTGGAGCCCTTTCTCCAGTGAGCTCCTGAGGGTGAGGTACAAAGAGCATTCTCTTCCTGTGCACCCTGCAGGCCCTGGTCCTACTAGGCCGTCTCTCCTCATGCAAATGGACATCTGAGCCTCACCAGCTGGGCAAGGCCTCAAGACCCTTCAAGGGTTCCCAAAGCCCCTCCAAGGGAAGCATGTTCTCTGATCTCATTCCCCTCACCCATTTCACCCATCTCTCATCTTCTGAGACCTGTCCTTGCTGCGAGTTCCAAGACCCGCATCTAACTAGTTCTCAGCTGTGTGCACTCTGCAGGTTCAACGGCTATGCCTTAACTCATGTGAGGCCTCAGTAATGGCGGGGAGGAAAATAAACAGGGTACAAATCCACCCCTTCTAAGTGTCAGCAAATGAACAGAAGGAGAAGCTACCCATCAGCTTCAGGGCTCTGAAGTAAGGCCAGAGGAGGAAAAAGGCTGGAACCGTAGCAAAGGCATGACCATAGGCAGTTACTATTAAAGAAGAGAGATTTAGGTAAAGTAAAGGGAGGACTTGGTAGAGAGAAGCTCAAAGGGAAAAGGGGGCTGAGAGGATTCAGCGAGGGACTAGCAAAGGAGCCAGGGCAGAAGACAGGGAAGTGCATCACAACCAGCAACTGGCTATTTTTAGAAAAGAGACTGCATTCATGTCGTTTCTCTAGGACTAGATAAACAAGCAGGAATGTGCAAAAATGAATACGTAGCTACTTGGAGTGGATCTTTATCTGTAGTTCTGTTCTGTCCATGAGGCTGAGGCTTAGATCATCCACACAGGCAAGGGCAGGGAGGAAGAACCGAAAAAACATGCAGAGTCAAAAGAGGCTGAGAGGGGGTGAGAAGGAGGGGTGTTCCGTGCCAGGAACCCAGCAGGGGAGCCCGTGATCCCAACCTACTCCAGTCACAGCGAAAATGATTCTCCCTAGCATCAGAGTGGATTTACCCAGGTTGTGAGGAGAAGACAGGGACGAGATTCCTTAAAGACCAGGTAGGGAGATCGGACAGAAACGCAAGTAAGTGAAGCAACAGGGTTGGTGACAGAGTGGAATGAGAGAACCAGAAGGTTGTCGTGTATTCCCAGACCAGCACTTTCTGGGATGAAGAAGATTGAGGCCAGAGAACTGAGCATGGCCCCAGGTGAGAATTAAATGAATGAGGAGGCCAGAGAAGCACGTTTGAAGATGGGAAAATAATGATACCTCTAGTAGGGAGAGAGAAGACAGAGCTGCAGTTCCTTCATCAGGCAGCTCTTCACCACCATGACAAACACCTGGCGTAACCAACTCGTACAGACAAAAGGCTGCTTTGAGCCCGGTCTTAGAGGCTGCGCTGCACAATCCACATTGCTGAAGAAGGCGGATCTTGTGCTGGAGCAAAACCATTTACCTCAGAGGCTCGGGAGTCACCATGTCCCAGCGCTAGCACTGCCCCAATGGGTGAGGGGTCAAGTGAAGATAACCAGAGAGAACAAAGGTTAGAACAGCGAGGAGAGAAGGGGGCCATGATGCTTTGAGGGAGCACTGTAGCTATGAGGTACAGTGATGAGCAAGGGCCGATCGATACCCAGATATCCAATCTTATTCCTGCAACACTTGCCAAGGGTCGTTTTGCTTTAGAGGCACACTTCTCCTCAGTGTTCACACGTCTCAAGTCTCCCCAGCCTTCCACATCAGCTCTGTCTGCTGGACCTCATCATGAGAGCAACTGCGGTGACTTCCAAGCCTGTCCCTGCTCCTCATCAGTCTGGGTGGACGCCTCTGTCCGCCCTGTGAGCCAGTGCCAGCCATGCCCAGTGTGGACCAGAAGATCAGAGAGCACGGCTCTGCGAGCAGTATCTGGTCCTGTGACCCACCAAGACAGGGAAGGAAGATGAGCAGAGAAAAACAGTGAGAGAACAGTCAGCCTTGACTTGAGGAGCACTGAAAGGTGATGCACTCCCATACTTTGGGAGGCTGAGGCAGGAGGATCGCAAGTTCAAGTCCAGCCT